CAGAGAACCCCAGTTGCACTGGCCAACGCCGACCCTGAGCTGTTCGGACCCCAGGTTACTGCCGCTCTCCAAGGTACCAACAGCCTACCCATGCGCCGCTCTACCCGACCCACTCGAGGTAACAAACCTGACCGGTATAGTCATAGTATAGACGACTATGTTCTAAGCGAGGGGGAAATTGTGAGCCTATTGAGAATGAAGTTGTGTGTTTCTTTTAGTTTGCAGTGATTAGTGTGTTGTGTTATTTTATCGTACCTTATTTTACCTGCATGCTTTTTGTGTGAGTTGTAAGGACTGCTTTACCTTATGTAAACTTCCTTTAGCTGACAAAATAACTCTATTGCTTCCACTTGGAAATACTTGATAATCAACTGGCGAACCAGGTGCAATGCGGAGTGTGGCTGATTGGTGGAGTTTAAAAGAGCTAACGACTGCCACTACGGGGCGCACGGAGGACGAGGAGAAGCACGGACGGAACGCAGAGAGGAAGGCGCACGGAACAGAGGATAATCTGGATAGGAGAAACCTTGGCCACCCAGAAGATTGGATTGTTCCAGATGGATATGTGACTGGTTAGAGGATTGTGATTTTAAGAGATAAACCGTCTCTTATTCCTAACTCTCCCCGTGTCTGCGTGGGTTCTCTGTGGGTTCTCCTGTCTCTCGCCCGGAACTGGCCCCCCACGACCCTGTGTGCAGGATAAGCGTTTTGAAGATGTTTAGCATAACAGTAAAGTAAATGCAATCATTTATAATATGAACATTTACTGTATATTTATTTGAATTTGGTTTATATTTAGTAAATATTTTGGTAAAATCGATTTATATTTACTAAATATTTGAGTGAAATTGACTGTTATATACTAATAATCTTGATCAAATTGAATTTGATTTACTTAATAAAATGAGTTATATCAACTCACATTTTAGCACATTGTTAATTAATTCAACACATTCCCATTGCCATTCTGGACTACTACTACATTTATATTACAACACAAAAAAACAGTTTTAAAACTAAATAGGCAAACCTAAACTTCTCAATGTGAATCTTAAAAATATATTTAACAAGTATTGAACAATAGTGATGGCATAGTGAAGCTTTCTGAACCAGTGAAGCTTTCCAGCCAATTGTATCGGGAAAAGGTTCATTCATTCAATGCATCGCAAACTCTATGATGACCTGCTGTTGAAAACCTATAGTGCAAATGTTTCGAATAGCCTACCAGTATATTTTGGCCCAATCTCTGATTATGAAAAGTTGAACCAATAAATCATCTAATAAATACATGGATTCCTATATTAATAAAACTATTGTTTTTCAGCTTTGAATTGTGTCCTTGTTTGTGTATTTCAATTCTCTGTACATTGGGAAGAAGTGGAACAAACACTTATCTATGTCTTTCTGCACCTTTGTGCATGTATGTTTGTGATCATACTAGCATAAGAATTAATAGAATATATATATATATATATATATATATATATATATATATATATATATATATAGATCCCGGTTTGTGTTTGACCCAATATTTTAGCGGGTCTTCACTCCGATGGATGTTTGATTCAGCCAAATATCGGGTGGTCTCCACAATAAAAATAAACATCCATAATTCCACAATACAAATGACACTTTGCCTGCCTATTGCCAACCGTGCTAGAGGAAATCAAATTGAAGTGCTCCCACATCTCGGAGAGACCTCTCTCTGCCACAGGTTCCATTGTAAATTTGCTCCGACAAAAGCGACGGCGAGAACCACAATCGAGAGCGCAGAGACTGAAGAGCAGACTTTGAAGGAGGAACCGGAGGAACCGACTCTTCACGTCCATCACATCTCTGTTGTTACGTCCGGCTGCTCTATTAGTGTTTTCTCCTCCCCCATGTCTTTGTTTCCAGTCTGTTCTTCCCAGGTGTGGTGAGTTGCTGCTGACGATGCAGGCGTGGCCAGCTGTTCCTCCAGCCAATCCAGCTCTCAGCTCTGCTCCTTTAAAAATGTTTGTGTGTGAGAGCTTGAAAAAAGAGAGGGGGTCTTGTGTTTTGGGAGAGATTGAGAGTGACATTGATTTAGATATTGAAGGAATATATGGTTTATGTTGTTTGTTAAACTGTCGTCTATTGTACACCCTGGTCTGTGTTTATGTACTTACCCCAAGAGCGCTGTGGAGCAGGGCTAGGTAAGATACCCTGGGGTCTACATACACCCGTAGGGAAAACCTCTGTTAGATACACTAGATTAGAAGCCAGCGGCTGTCACCCAGTGTATTGTAGCAGTGAGGTAAGTGGTGTGATAGGTTAGATTGTGGTAGGTAGGTTTAGAGGAGGAGGGAAGCTCAGGGTCCTTTGTTTTGTTTCTTTGCTTTGACAGACCGCTGGCACCGTCCTACTCCACAGGCCTTGTTACCTGTTAGTCCTCCGATCCCGTGTCTTTGTACTTGTGTGTAATTGTTTGTTGAAATGTTTGTATTGTTATTGTAGGGGAAATAAACCCACCATAGCCATCAATTGTAGTAGTGTCCTTTACTTATTGGGGTAGCAAGCTGGGGCCTTCGCACACGGGTTCAGAATCATCCAGAGGGCGTGGTCTTGGGTATTTACGCCTTCCTCCTCTCCTGAGTCGGGGTGGAGGCGTAACATCTGTAAATAAGTGCAAATGGAGATTTGGGTGATTTTTTTGAGTTATTTCCTTGTAGAAGCGTGATGCGGCGCAGTGACATGCAGCAGTGTAATACACATGTTTATGCATTTTCTGATTGTTGCAAAACAAAAACAACGCGTACGTACACGTCTTTAAAGACTCACTGGTTTCGATGTATTGCAGCAACGCGGCAGCTTGGACCATGAATATATTTGGCATTTTTATTCGGTGATACTCGGACCAGAGTGCCGATGCTTCTGTGCCAAACAACCTATTGAACAATGTGTTCTTTTGTAAAGAGCGGATGAGGATGGGGGTGCGGGGGGGGGGGTCTGGACTCAGAGGTTTTGTAGGAGTCTCGCGTGAGAGGGAAGGAGGAGGAGGAGGAGGAGTGGTAGCAGACGTCCCTCTACGCTCGCTCTCCTCCTCCTGACTCACTTTGAAGCGTTTCTAGACTTCATCTTTCACTCGAGGTCGACGCTGTAAACTGTATTTGTGATACGAGGTTTTGGCCGCAGCGCTTTTTCATTCTGGAAGTTTGTACAAAGAGAAACTTCCCTCGAGTGTCCAGAAGGACGTGCGTCTCTCACTTTGTTTGTTTTCTCTCCATATTTATACCGAAACGTCTGGAAAAGAAATGTCCTTGAGAAACATTTGATAGTATTTTTATAAGGAGTTGTGGACCAAAGGTTCAGCGTTTTGGGGGGAACTCACGTTTTAATGTGTACGCGGCCACGTGATCGTTATTGGAAACGTTGTGAGTTTCCTTAAGAAGAGTGTTGTTGTCTCTTTGTCTCTTTTCCTGTCACTCTTTTTAATGTGAAATATTGTCCCGATGTCCTCTGGACGTCTTTCCTTCCTGCCGTCCTCGGTTCTCCTCGAGTCTCTTTGTTCTTTCCTCAAATCATCCCGTCCATCCTTCTCTCTCGTTAACACTGTTTCCTTTCCTCTTTGCCTCCTTCTTCTCCTCCTCTCCTCCCTCACTTATCTTCTCCTCTTCTTTCCTTTCCTTAGTCCATCCTCTCTCCTGTCCTCTCCTCCTCTCTCCTCAGTCCATCACCTTTCCTGAGTCCTCCATCACATCTTCTCCTCTCCTCATGTCTTCTCCTCAGCCATGCAGTCACTTTTCCTCCTCTACTTCTTCTCTCCTCTCCTGTTTTGCCTCCTATCTCCTACCACCTCCCTTCCTCTCCTCTCCATCTCTCTCTCCCTCTTCTGTGTCCTCCTTTCAAAATGTATCCTCTCCTCCCCTCCTACATCCTCTACAGTCTATTTCCTCTTTCCTCACCTCTCTCACCCTTTGTCCCCTTTTTTCTCCCCCATTCCAGCAGTTCTCGTGTCCCTTTCTTCTGTCTTATTGGTTGCATTTGATTCTTTGGTTCCCTCGTTTCCTTCTTGACGTCTCCTCACCGCTCCGCTCTTTTTTCCTCCTGTCCTCAAATTCACGCATCGCTTCCAATTCACCTTTTCATTCTTCAGACCTTCCCCCTCTCTGCAACCATCTTACTCATCTTTGTCTCATTTCTCCTCACCGTTGACCTCCTCAGTCCTTCTCTCCTCTAAAGGACAGGGGGAGAAAATGAGGACAAAGCCAAAAATAAATAAGAGACATCTGGAAAAGAAAGAGCAGGACAGAAGACAGTCTCTCGTCTTTACTCAGTGTGTAACAGTGATCATCTTCTCCTCTTTCCTTCTGCTCTCATTGAGGGATAATGTCTGGAACAACCTTCATCACTGCACTCCAGACTCAAGGGAGAAGCCCCCCCACCACCACCACCACCCACACCTCCACCTCTTTCTCCACCACCAATCACCTCCATCTCATCCCCTTGTTCACATGTGAAGTCGTTCTGTGGATTATGGCTCCTCTCATTTCTTGGCACTGAGATGTATTATCATATTAGTGGAGGATGACGTAATGCGTCTCAGGACATTTGTCCTTCACACACACTCTGTCCCTCCGCAGATGACGTCACTGGCTTTGTGTCCTATGTGCCAATGACGCACTTGTTGGAGGAAAGTCATCGATAATAAATAATCAATAATGTAAAACTTTTAACTATATTAAGAATTATATTAATAATAATAATAATATATAATGATATAATTTATAATGTAACCTTGATCCTACATGGATTCAGCCGCATGTCCGGTTTACTCAAATTAAAATATAATCACAAAACTAAAAAGTTGAATATTTGAAGAAATTAAGATCAATCCCTTCGACCCGACAACAGAACAAAGGACAAAAAATGTTTTATGACTTACTATAGTATGACTTTTATGTTTTTTCATGCTATACTATGGAATATTTCAATATTCATGTCAAAATATGCATCTGGGGGTTAATTGTATGTGTGACTGTGAGAGTGAATGTTTGTGTCTGTGTGTCAGAGACTCTTCCTCCTCATACGTCCTCCTTAACGTCTCTGAACAGACTGCAACAAACATCAAGTTTGGCAACCAGCTTTTTATTTATTTAGCTCTTTTAAATGTTGCTTCTAGCTGCAGTTTATTGCACATATTAAGACTAACCTTGAGGTAGTTGGTCCTCTCGTGCAGAACTGTGGACCGAACACCATTTACAAAAAAAAGGACAGACAAGAGAAAGAAAAAGTCACGCCTGAACAGTGTGACCACTTTTGTTTTGTATGTGATGCAAAAAGTTGTGTGTGTTGTGTTGTAATGTTTCCAGTGTGAAGTGTTAGTTTGTGACCTGATGAATCTTTTGTGAAGAACTGGCTTAAGAAGCATTTACAGAGGAATAAATCTACCGTGCGTGTGTTCACTGTGGTGTGTTCCTGGTGAAGATGGTGGTGTTCTCTGTGGGTCTGATCATCATGGTGTCTGCCGTCATCACTGTTCACCTCGTGGACTTCAAGAAGCACCAACAAAGAAATGGATGTCAAACACGTCACGCTGCCCGGGAGGAAAGCTCCCACTTAAAGGTCACCTTCTAAACCCGTGATGATGTTCCACTGACTCACAGCTGGTGGCAGCAACACACCAGGAGAAGAAAAGACGAAGACGAGCGCAGAGCAGCAAACATGGACGCAAACTATTTGGGATTTAAAGGATTTATAAATTCAGCTTTGCAGATATTTCCTGGTTGTTACATGCCCTCATGTTACGTTTTCACCTCAGCTGTAGCTCGTTGGAGGTGGGGAACGTAAACACCTGTACTTTCACCCACCCAGCTATCTTAATCAACCCCACACCTTTGGGGTGTTTAGGGATTGAAGGTGGGGACTTGTGTTTTAAAGTCACACAATCTGCAATGACATGCCCAACCTTTTGAGATGGTCGTGCATGTACCGAGTAACGAGGGGAATTATAGGCAGGTGCAGAAACAGCTGGTCTAGTTTCACTACGATGAGTGGGGAACACTGTTATGCGTTAACAAATTCAGTGGCCAGCACCGCGGCTTCCGATAACTTACAAGCCTTTTGTTCGTTAATGTATACAACCAACCGCTCTGGAAGGCTGTTTTTATATTGCTCCAATAAAATTAATTCACGAAGACTTTCAAAAGTTTTAACTTTACTTGCCAAACACCATTTGTCGAAGAGTGACTCCTTTTCTCTAGTGAATTCGACAAAGGTTTTTATAGTGGATTTGGTGTGCTGTCGAAACGTTTGACGATAAGTCTCTGGCACAAGCTCATATCCACGGAGCACAGTAGCCTTAACAATGTCGTAGTTAAGACTATCAGCGGGGGAGAACGTACTCAGCACCTCCTGCGCCTTACCAGACAATTTACACTGAAATAGTGGCCACACATCCCTAGGCCAATTTAAGGCTACTGCTATTGTTGTGGAATATTTCAATAAAAGCTCGGTAGAAGAGAATGATTTGTCTGATAAAACAGTCTTGATGAATGATCAAAGTTGCAAAAAGTCCATTTATTGCTTGCAAGCAGGAGGTCAAATACACAGGCACGTATCACGGTGCTCTGTGGAAATCGCGTCTCCGAGCACTGAAGACGCTGAGTTTTTATACACATATGAAGGACATTCTCCGTGCCCGTTACAAGAAGCTGCAAAGCAGGTTGAGATAAGAACCCAGGTGAAGCTGAGGGTATTACACACACACAAGATCCTCCTCAGTGGCCGCTGCAAATCATTGTTACTTGACATGAAAGTAAAACTTGGATCCAGAACTTTCGTACAGAATAAGATATGAACCAAGGCCATGAAGAGGAGTCCTTTGTTTTGAAGCTTCTATGAGATCGAGTCAACCGTCCTACCTTCTCAGCGCACAGCTGCAAACTATCATTTTGTATCATGCTGCTCTTTGCACATCAGGGTCAAATACAGGACACTTGAGACACGGCTTTAGCACAAAACAATGTTATAACATATTTTACCATTACACTATGCATTCAAATGCACTAAAGAAAGAATCAGACTCACGAAATTGAGGAACTAAAGCAATATGCCAGCTGATGTCAAAAGGTATTTGCAGCTCCCGGAGTGGAAGATCCATCAGTGGGCGTGGCAGGAGCAGCGGCAAGCCTCGCCTGCTCTGTGTCCAATTCCAACTTGCGCAGTTCAAAATCCATCTGCCTTATTCAAATATCCCTCTCAGCTTCCAACTCCAGTTTACACATCTCCAACTGGTGCTGGTGCTCTTCTTTTCGGACCTGAGCCCTCTCTTCTGCATCCAGCAGAAGCCTAATAAAGGAGTAAGGCCTAAATTCTCAACCTCAGGAGGTCTATCCGGGGACACTGGAGTATCCACCCCCTCCTCAAACACAGGTTGAGCCAAAACTAGCACCTGCTGTTCAAGCAGTGCGGCCAACACCAAAGCCCGTACCTCCGCCTTAACAAAACCCCTTGGCACAGAGACACCCAACTGGGCCTTCTCCAGAACTCAGGTAGAGCACAACAGGATCTCACACCCAACAGGATTCAACAACAAACAGTCTATGACAGGCCGTACAAAACCACAAGCCTTCTCTCTCCGATTCCTTTCTCTTCTTTTGCAGCAACCAGGCTGGTTTATAGAGGCCACCAGCTCGTTAGCTGATTAGGCTCCAGGTCTTCAGTGGCCACGCCTCCTCGCCAACAGCCAACCAGCACCGCACACCTGTGAATGGAGAAAGGGGCACTCTTCCCCCACCCACACAGTTAAAGGGGCAGAACAAAAACATGGGGACATGTAACACTGGTGAAGGAAAGACATTAAAAACGTGGACTCAAAGATTTTGGCAAAGAAAAAACTTCATGTAAACATTGTTTCAACATCATATTTACCTTTAAAACAAATGCTGATAATCCATTGATTATACACAATATATCACACACACAAGACCATGTCAATATGTTTCTGGTGGATATTATCTTGAATATTTAATCAAGACCAACTATATGTAAGCAAATAATCTTAAAAAATACACCGTACAATACTGCATACGGTCCTATTGACAATGATAAAAAATACATTGTATATGTGTCTGCTTGCATGTACAGTATTTATTGGTATTTATTGTGTTTCAGTGATTAAAAGGTCACGTGTTCCTCTCTGGTGTACTGTGAGTTTTTACCAAAGGATCAATATGTAATGTTATTATAGTAAAGACACTTGATACACTGAATGAATAAATATGTTATGGACAAATATATTTCTTAGATTCTCTGCTGCTGTTTCACATTCGTCTCTATGAAATCCTCTTTCCACCAAAAGAAAAATTGAATGGTTAGAAAGTCGAAATGAGATAAGGTGAAATTCTAAAAACAATTATCTCCTAATTCTGTTGTTTTATATTATTGTCACAGTTAAAACATATTTGATTCATGTTTTGTTTTTTAAAATAATAAAAATATAAAACAAAAGCATTTCTTACTTTTTCTACATTGATCTTAAATGTAAAATATGTGATTACTAACATCTCCAATTGTGACACGTTTGTGACGAGGAGAATCTTTCAGCATTAAAGCAGATCACATGAACTAAAACACAGAAAGCTTCAATAACACTGCAAACTACCAGCTGAATTACAGGATTTGGGAAAACTTTCCTCTTTAATCATTGAAGGACCTGTCAGGCTTCTCCACCTCAGCGTAGAAGCTCTCCAGCTGAATCGATCCAGCATGAAGTCCCACCGAGCTGAAGGTGAAGTTCTCATTCTGAGGTGCTGATGTTTCGTTCCGCAGGATGAATCACACACGTAAGAAAAGGTGACTTGAGACTTCTTAATGGTTCTATTTTCCACGGATCTGATTACAAGCAAGCAGCAGATGTGTGGATGTAGCAGCACGAAGCCACCTGGAAACAACCTTGGTGCAAAGTTTGGATCCTAAAAATGTCTTAAATTAGTTTAAAAACGTAACGCTTAACCAAGCAGCTCCTTCCTGAAAAAGTTCATGTTTCTGTGTTAAACCTGCAGGTCAGTGATGGAAGAAGAACAAACAGCCCTTTAAAGATCTGAACTGTTGTACATTTACTTTACTTGAGCTGCAGATAAAGTGACTCCATCTTTTGGGTGGTGTCTAATTTACTCCATCCTCAAACAGAAGCACATGTTGACGTGTTGGATTTGATGTGTTGGGATGTTTGTATCAAAACAGCAAATCATGACAATCCCAGTGAGATAAAAAGCACCTTTTGGTAAAATATCACATGTATATTTTAACAGACGTGTTTCCTTATCTGATGCAGTAAAAGACGTCCTGTGTTGTACAGATTGTTCAGCGCTCTGAGGCAAACTGTGATTTGTGATATTGGGCTATTTAACCAAACAGGTGGGTACATAGTTATGGAGGACTTGGAGACATTGAGTTTCTATCTAGAGGAAACAAAGAGGATTTTACAGATGTTGAGATTATTTGTTGGAATATTTACTTGGACTTACAGATTCTTTTCCTTCGATCATTATAAAGCCAGACGATTAGAACCACAATTAGGATGACAATAAGAATGACAACGCAAACAGCAATCACCAAGCCAAGGTGAGAGGGAGAATCTGTAAAACAGAACAAGAACCAGATCAGAAGAGTCTTCCTGGTTTAAATGACGCAGCACAGCTGAGAATGTGTCACATGTTCACAGCCTGATGTGCTTCTGACGGACTGAAGTTTGGATTGTGAAAACTTCTTTAACGTGATCTATAGTGAGAAATCATTTAATTTATTCAATTAAAACATTTTTCTACCTACCTTTATAGTGATTAATGGTTGAAGGTGTTTTATGATACAGGGAGATGAACTCCAGCATTGTGATTGAGAGTGAGTGTTCCGTATCACTGCGCACTCAAAGTAACAGGTTAGCTTTTGCACAACCGTTAGTTGACATCTTAGCTATTGGCTAAGATGGCTAGCTATTAGCTCGGTGGCGATTGCCCAAAAAAAAGACCCGGAAATCCCTCAAAGTGTCAGGCAATGCCAGCTTTCATAAGCGGACAATTAAGGTAAAAGCAATAAGGTACTTGAGGGTGTACTTTGTCGTCCAATAATGTAACCGTTGGGGGTGTTGTTCTTAATGAAGTTGTCTCTTTCAGTCTTACCAGTATTTGAGGAGCAAAATGTTCAGTTGTATTGAAGTCCTGGGTCCTGTGAACCTGGTTGCTATGGTTACAGATGATCACGTTGTTCAACAGGTAGACCTGGAGAGAGGCCCCAGAGGTCGTGACCTCTGGTCGCTCTCCTCCCCCTTGAATGCAGACCCGGTAAATATTAATCATATTACTATGATCATAAACCAACATTACCCTCTCCTAAAGTCTTGGCTTTCCCTCCCCACAGGCTTCTGCAGCTGGTGGTTCTACCTGATGGTGGTTCTACCTGATGGTGGTTCTACCTGATGG